CTACAAAAGCAATAAAAAAGATCTTGCTAAAGAACACAGATTTAGTTCACTGAAGCTGGACATCCTGAGATTCTTGAGGTAACAGCAAATAGTGCTCTGAATGGTCTATTCAATATTAAAAACTATTCTGACTTAAACTAGTTACCAAAAATTGAATGTTCTACTTAAATACCTAAACTAGAAAGCTATTAAATACACTAAGGGGGAAACCTAATTACTAGGTCAGAATTAGGTCACAATTAATTGCTTAGATCAAAATAAAAAGCAATAAGATACAATAGATACCAATAGGCTTGGATCTAGTCTATCAGATTCGAGTGAGCCTCCAGATTTGAGTATGTCAGGATACAACTAAGTTTCCCCTTCCATCTCTCTATTTCTGAATTACAAGAGACATCAAAAATATGATTCAAGTGACCTGTGACACGGAGAACTTCAGGATACACTTCATGAAGTATATTGCCCTTATTTTATAAAGCAAATGTGAATGCCAGAGAGACAAAAACCAAAATAAGACACCTGACATTGGTAGATATAAACTACTTAAAATACTTATACCAGGTATTATCAAGATTCTTTACCTGAAGAAGTTTATGTACCACTCTTTCAGTAGTAAATTTTCAACTCACAGACACAAATTAGTGCAGTTAAAATGTGTTTCCCAAAATGTCATATTAACTTGACTCAATTGGGCTGGAATCAAATGGCGTGTGCTGAATGTAACTGGGGGATTACTGGAGTAAATTGAAAGAAAATCAGTAAGTAAACATGAATCACTTGGAAAAGGTGCCTCAAAGTAAAGGTCAATGAAAGGGCAAACAAATACAGTATTTGTTCTCAATATACTTGTAGAAGGTGGCCATGAAAGGCAAATCCTACATAAATTCATCCTAACAATCCAGTACCATTTCCGCATATTAAAAAAATTAATTAACTAAATAAATACATGCTGTGTTCCAAGAGAATGAGTCCGAATGATGCTATTCAATCTCTTAGAAAAGACTTTAAAACTTTATGTCCATGCCTTTATCATTCATATATTTCATGATTGAAATATATTTCATACTCGGAAATCACTGTAAATGATAAAAATATCTCTAACTCCAATTTGTTTGGGACTGCATGAAACAAAGCTCTCTACATTATTTCTCAACTATCTATTCTTAAGTCAGTCTTTCAGAACACCTCATCAGTCAAGGTTTATTATCAGGCAGATATTTTGGATCTCATATTCACCTGAAGAGGAGTAACATAGCCTAAAACAGAAACATCAGGCATTCATTTTTTTTCTGGTTTGTTTGTTTGTTTTTGAAAGGTGAAAAGGAGAAGGGAGGAGAGCAGATGTATCTTAATGCAGTTATATAAATCAACTGGTAGCAGAAAACAATGGCTAGCTGAAGTCCCAGGATATGTTTCAGATTTCAGTATGCAACCAAAGTAGAATATTAGTTCCACTTAACCCAGTGGAGAAACTCACTGATTTCAAGAATTCCAAATTTCGTGGATTCAGTATGCAAAAAGCAGAAAGAGGCAGGATTCCAGACTGCACTGTGGTGAGTAAGACACACAGGCTGGCATCTCCCTTGGGGGATGTTCCTAATTAACAAACAGTCCCTTATAAGCACTTGTAAAGAGAAACTCTTCAGGAAAAACAAGAAGGAGCTCAGTATCAAAGCAGTGAAAAGAGGAGACTTGAAGCACAATGACCAAACAAGTACTCACTCCTCTGAACCTCCTGGATGAGCACAAAATAGTTTAAATTCTACAAGCAAAACATTTTCTACCACAACTTAACCAAAATTTGCTAACATAAAGAAATGTCTGTTATGCTGAGTGATGAAAGAAATAGGATTCTGCAATCTGGGAAGATGTTCATTTCATCCACTTTTAGTCAGTGTCCCCAGACACTGGTAAAAACCAATGCAGCTTTTTCTTTTGAGTGTTGTATCACTACATTTCTTAAAAGGCACATTTACACAGTGGAGTATGATTTTTTTTTTTTTGGTTGGTTTGGGGCATGGGGGGAGGCCGGTGTGTCTATGAATGTATTTTGTTCCTTTTTTTTTTTTTTATTTTAATCAAAGCAAAGCTAATTAAAATTGAGCCTTCACACTGGATGAATTGTCTGGACAGCTTTGAAAGGCTAAGGAAAAAAATACTTTTGTTTCAGCGTAATAACATTGCCAGTTAAACTCCTCCCTTGCCATGAAATTAGGAGAGAGAAAATTTGGCCCTGGTAGATAATTATGACATTCATAAGCTCTTAACTTAAGGGGCTGGGGGAGGGGGTGGCTGTCTGCTGCTTGCTTTCAAACTGCTCTGATTTACTGGAATGGAACAAGTACAGCATCGTTCCCTCTTTCAAGTCCTAAACACCAGCAGTTCCCAAAGAAAAAGCTTCAGTCATTCTTCATAAAATCTACTGCAGTTCCATTCTTCAAAACATAAATCCTCAACCTAAAACTACTGATGTTTCCAAAGCAAATGAGCCAAATCTAGTTCCTGGCTTTTTCCCAGTGATCCACACTGTTTCCTTTTAACATCAAAAAAGTAATAATCATCACTTAATACTTGCATAATAATCCTTTTCTTAAAAGCAAACCAACAAAATAACCCTCACAAACATCACAATCTCCAGTTGATCATGTGTTCCCCACTACTGCATTACCACAGAAAAGATCAATCCCAAGAGTTTTAAGAATAGCCTCAAATTATTTGATTCACTTAATTCTCTAGATTACTTCAAGCATGTGTTGAAAATAAAGAAAAAATATACAGTAAGTCCCTCACCACGATGATACTCATTAAAATTAATAACACCCCCCCCTTCACTGTAGAATTTTCCTCTCTCCTAGCAACCTAAACGTGGATATTTTCCATATGCAGATGTTCTCCCATTCCCATTTACTATGCCCTGCTGTGGATCGAGGTTGCACGTTTCTGCTTTTTCTACAGCCAGTTCAAAAATCTCACTCTTCCCCTTCCAGTACAATTCATTCCCTCTAGTTAACAAAAAAAAGAAAAAAAAAAATTAAGCTGCTTCTTTAAATTTAGAGCAATAGCAACTTACTACAAAAACGAGATTTATTCAGATTTCTTCCTTTTCTTTCTATCCCCCCCTCGTATCTATCCTCCTATAATTTTTAAAACTCGGCTTAATAGCATCTATAATTTCACTCCATTATTTATCTCCTGACATTTGTGATAGTAAGATACCAAAACTGTGCGATCCTCCTACGCTGCAGCAACCACACTTCACGAAGTAGCTTTCCGCCGTTGGAGGAGGCACAGAGCAAATCTCTACATTATTACACCCAGGTAGATCAATGCAAAGCCCGGAGGAAGCTTTCCCGTACTCCTCCCTTGCTATCCCAGCGCTGGCTGCGCTGCAAAGCCTCCGGACCTGTTTCTGGATGGCTGCTCACCGGGAGACTCTTCAGAGCGCACCCCGGGGTGGCAAAAGCATGGAAGCTTTTCTAGAGAAACTGAGAGCACCTGGTGTCTCCTTGCTGCTTATCAGCGAGAGAAAACACCTGAGCTTTAGCCATGAATACACCGAAGGCGACCTTCGCAGCTGCAGCCTGAATACCTCAAGGCACAACCCCCGCCCCTTCCTCAGGCGCAACAGATCTCTCTGCCCCTTCCCAAGACACCGTGTAGGGCCTGGGTGACTCACGCAGCCCGTGGGTAACACAACCAGCCTCCAGGTGACCCATCCATCCCCCGGGTGAGCCCTCCAGCCCCTGCCCACCCACCCCCGGTCCCGCGGCGGGGGCGCGGCCGCCCCGTCCCGGGCAGTGCCCGGCGCGGCCGTGGAGCTCTGCCGCCCTCTGGCGCCCGGTGGCGGCACCGCGGCCCGGGGCCGGTCCCGCTGACACCCGGCTGGGGCTTTCGGGGGGGGTTTATTTCTCCCCAAAAACCTCTTTAGGAAGGCGGGCCCCGCCCACCCCCGCAGGTGCAGCGGATCCAGCCTCGCACCGGGCACAAGGCGCGAGGGGAGCGGGGCCGGGGGCAGCCCTGCCCGGGCGCCAGGAACTTCCCCGAACAGTTTTCCCTAACGCGGCCGTGGTCATCCCTCACCGAGGGGCTGCGCCCCTCCAGACGGCCCTTTCCCACCCTTCTCCTCGAGGAACACAAATCCTCAAGTAGTCGCGCAGGGGACATTAAAAAAAAAAAAAAAAAAAAAAAAAAAAAAAAAAAAAAAAAAAAAAAAAAAAGGCAAATAAATGAAGAGATATTTAGACGTTTCATCCTCCCCCCCCCAAAAAAAAATAAAAAAACCCACAAAAAACCAAGCCCAAAACGCACGGCCGTAGCGCAGTCCCCGAGTCCGCGTTGTACACACACACACACACACACATATATATATGCACACACATATGCAAAGGGCGAACCGTGCCCGGAGGCGCCAGCCCAGCTCTCCCCGTCCCCGCACGCCCCTGCCCCCGCCGGGGGGCTCGGTGTCCCGGCAGAGCGCCGGGAAAGGGTCTTCGGGAGAGGAGGAAGGAACCCCGACAGGTAGACTTCAGGTCAGGTTTCCCACGGGCTCTACAGCCAGCACTTCTCCCTGCTCCTAAAAACGAAGCCCGCGCTGCCTTCCCCGAGGGCAGATGCAGATTTTAAAGCACGGTCCCTGGAAGACACGTTTTTTAGAGTCGCTTCGTCTCCCTCCCACATTTATCAAGAAAAAAAAAAAAAAGGGGGGCAAAACCCCATGCAGAGCAGCTAAGTACACTTAGCACCTTCCAGCTTTTTTTTTTCCCTCTTTTTCCTCATAAATGACACCTCTTGAAGACTTAAAAAAAAAAAAAAAAAAAGGTAGGCGATGAAACAAGTTTTAGGTCCTTCTTAATTTGGTTCCAGAATAACGCACTGCTTAATTTTTTTTCTCCGTTTCTTTGCCGTTAATCTGAGCGAGCGGACAGCACAGGTGAGAATAATAATTAATTATTTAAAAAAAAGAAAAAGGATAAGGCGGCAAAAGGCGGCCCCGCTCCTACCTTGCCCGCTACTGAGGAGCAATCCGAGCAGGTAGAGAGGCAGGAGGCTCATGTTCAGGAGCTCACGCCGGTGGACAGTTCCAAGTTGGAGGATGCTCGGCCAGCCCAGGCAAACCCTGCTGCTGCCGCCGCCGCCCGCGCAGCCCCGCACCCGCGGAGCGCCGCTCGCCAAGTGACGGCCGCGCCTCCCCGCGCTGCTCTATATCGGCGGGGCAGCGCCGCCGCGCAGGGGGCGGGCGCTCGGCGGGGCCGCCCAATCCCTCCGCCGCACTCGCTGCACCGCCACACCGACGGGCGGCAGCGCCGAGATTCCTCCGCCGCTCTCAGAAGCGGCAGCAGGCTCGGAGCATCCCTCCCTGCATCCCTCCCTGCATCCCTCCCTGCATCCCACCCTACATCCTTCCCTGCATCCCCCTCCCCTGCATCCCCTTCTGCATCCGTCTGTGCATCCCGCCATTGCATCCCTCCCCTGTATCCTCCCACCCGCAGCCCCCCGGCGGTTTAAGGCGGCTCCCCACCGCCTCGGAGCCCGCTGAGGGCACGCAGCCTACACCGGAGAGGCGGCGGCTTTGGCGGAGAATCCTGCCGCGAAGCCCGCAGCATCCCCGGCCGGGACAGACGGGGAGAGGCGTTTCGGCTGCACGCGAGAAGGGCAGACGCGCCCGGGATCTTGGATTGTCCCTGGCATCGCCTTTTCCTGCGGGAACGGCCGGCCCGCAGCCTTCACTGTGCCCCCGCTCCGCCCGCGGGCGGTAACGCGCGGCAGCGCCCGTGGGAAGCGGGACCGCCGCCTAGGGGGGCGACTGTAACTAATCCCCCGGTGGGTTTATGCCTGTTCATTCAGCTGCCTAAGAATTCACTTGGTTGGGCTCCTGTTATTAGTCCAGAGGGGGAAAAAATACCTCTGCTATTCACAGCTGCGTGAAATAAACCCGATAAAAATAAATTGCTTACCGTTTTGATGCCTCGGTGCTGTCTCGCTGAGGATCTTGCATTGTAAGGAAAAAAAAAACAACATGAATAAAGAGGTGGCTTTTGGTCCAGCTTAACTTTGAAGATGGTATTTTTTTTTTTTTTGAGGGCGATAATTAAGCTATAGTGTCCAAAAAGCAGCTTCTATAAATGTGCCACCCTATCACCTGTATGATACATGGAAGGAGATACAAGTGGATTTATATTAACGTGAAGCAGCAGTGACAGTAGTTGATAGAAGATCAATCCAAATTAACAGATCACTAATATTTTTCCCAACCCTTCCTTTGCCCTTTTCAAGAGGATTTGGGGAGGGGATGGGAGATAAGAAGTCCCTTCCTGGCGAACTGATATGAATGACTTGATGGATATCTTCCACTTGACTCTCTGCACAGTAGTCTTACAAAACTATGAAATATAGCAATAAGAAACTATGTAGTCTGAACTTTGGCCTTTATTACCTCTCTTGTTCTTCCTACAAATTCTTTTCCCAGAGGATGACGTTTTAGGACACTGGGGAGCATGAAGAGAAAATGGTGGTAGAGGGGAGGCTGAGAGCTTTGGGTCTTTGGTTGGTTAATCTACACCATGTAAATCAGAATGGTATCGCTCATTCACACACCACATGGTCACACCCTGCTCTGAAACTAAAGATTTTTGTAACCTACTATAAAATTAACAGATTCATGTATATTTAAGTGGGAATTGAACTGTTTTTCCTCATACAGTTCTGGAAATCCGAAATATGGCAGCTTCAGTAAAACCTTGCAGATGAGAACTGGATTTATATTTGGGAGCTGCTTTGCTCCAGAGTGTCATGAGAGCTGTTTGATTGCAGCAACCTTTGGTGGAGGCCTTCAGTGTAGGTTCAGGAAAGCAAGACAGAGGAAGTTTTTGATGAAGGAGTTTTCCCAGGTTTCATCAGCCCTAGTACCAACTCCAGAAATTGACATCATTAATAAATTAATACAGAAAGATTATAAAAACAAATATTAGATAAAAACCTTAAAAAGAAATATGGACCTTACTGGGACAAAACACAAGAAACCTTCACTATGAAGTGGACAAGATGCCAAATTTATCAAATTTGTCTTTGGTTTTAATGTTTTGGAGCATTTCCATCCAGCAAAAGTGAAATAAATGGAAAAAACAAAAACAGTGTTAATAAATAAAATTAAATAACTTATACACTTGCCTTAACATCTATCACAGTCTGCTTTAGTTAAGGACCAGAAGCACCTTGATCTGCAGAGGTGCACAGGTGCAAGGAGTGACACTCATGTACAGCAAATGCTGTACTATTACTAAACATAATGGAAAGAATGCTGCTATCCCAATTTGCTTACTTTAAATCACGATCGTGATGAAAAATTTCACCAATGTCAGATCTGAGCAACTTTGAAATGAAATGAGGATGCTCTGCTTTCAAACAGGCTTCCCTACCCTGAGAAGTCTGCCTAATTACTTCTCCGCAGCAATCAGCAGAGCCCACCATGTAGATTGTCAATGCCACAGTGCTACAGGATTTGGGGAAATCTGTTTTCAGTTCAGCTTCTCTAGGAAAAGAGGGACATACTCTTTGCTGCTCTGAATCAATGGAGGAAAACAACAAAGGCAGCTGGTTTGCTCACCAGTAGACATGTATCTCAAGGTGCTTTGTCACATACACCACCTAAAAGGTATATGGAGATCCTGAAACCACTCAGTGGAGGGACAGAGAGGGGAGGGGAGGAGAGGAAGGAACAAAGTAGGTAAACTTGCAGGGCTTAATTTTTCCTGCTGCTTATGGAACAACTCATTTGTTACAGAAGAAGGGTCTTTAAAAAAGTATCTCGTAGTGAACCACAACAACAAATCACGTTGAGGTCACACAAACAGGGATGGGAAATAGGGCTCAACTTTTCTGCCATCTGTATCTATATGACTCTTGGTGTTCATGACCACACATTCAATGAACCAAAAGATGAGCATTTCAAAGTGCTATAAACCACTAATTGGTATCAATAACAACACACCTGTAGTATTTGCCATTCTTTGGCTAACAGCATTTTTCTTTAAAGAGTGTGCTGTTTGCTAGGAGGAAACGTGAGATGGAGGTTAATGGCTGTACTTAAGACTAGGGAATTAGAAAACATGATTCTGGATGGTATCACATGTATAACAAATATGCTGACAGAAAACAAACACATTTTCATGCTATGTAAGTTTTAAAAGTAAGACCAGAAATAAAC